ATCATTTCATCTCTTTATAAGCTTCTCTGAAAATTCAAATGTTTTGATGGTTGTCTCGCAAAACTCTTACCAGTTCAGGGTCAGGGTTAAATAACACCTGCGTCAGCCTCGGTTTAAAAAAATTCAGAAGAAGAAGATTAAGTCTACGACCCAAAGGCCCTCTCGACTGCGTCGCAGGTACAAAATAGATCATATTCAGGCATGCAATGCATATATATAAAGCACAAGACTCGTGTTCTATTGACGAGAATTAACCCCCCCCCTCCCTTTGAAAATAGTTTAATTTTGTACTTGGACATGACATGAACTACATACAACGATTCGTAATTTTCGTCCATGTTTTGTATCTGCTTATCTTCGGAGGAGCAACACGTTCCTAACCTCGCCTTAACCTTTCGTATGATAGCCACAAAATCATGCAATGGATATGGGGCGGCCAAGTGACCTGACCGCAATTATCTCTTTTATTTTATTTGCTTGTGATGCTTCTGTGCGAAGCGTGCACACTAGCTTTGTTCAGTGTAAATTCAATCGTCATTTTAAATGCAAAACGCTTCATGATGAAGATACGTGCGTTCAGACGAGAACTATTTTGAAACGAAAATCTTCCAAGTGACGCCCTAGCTTGGTGTATTTGTTTCTCTATTCTAGTACTTGTGAAAAATCTGGGGCATGTCTTCGAGGACATACCCATTGCCTTCTCATTTTTTCAGATATCACATTATATTAACAATAATTGCCACTTGGAGCCGCGAATTAGAAACTTTGATTGCCGAATTAATGACTTTGAACCACTGTTTCCTGTTCCAAATGGAAGCATTGCATTTTTGGCTGCAAACAATTTAAATAGTTTTGGCCAGTTTTTATCTGTGTCTTTTGCTTTTTTTACACGTTTTTTTTTTTTCTTGACTGCAAACTACTTTCACTATGGCAGACGATCACAAGAAAATGCTCGTTAAAGTTTTTTGTGGTTTCTAATAAAATGATAACATTTCTCTTTTTTCTATAAAAATAACGAAAGGGATGTAAATGAAACGCACCATCAGGAAAATAATGAAGCAACAAAAATTTATCTTGAAAGAAATGCAAAGGCTGGATATATCCCGATCTGTTTTAGCCTAGGGTCTGAAAATAAATAAACAAATAAGTAATTAAATATTTAAATTGATGAGAAGGTTATGGTTGACCTTCTGACCTTGAAACACTTGTTGACAAACAAAAAGAAAGCTGGTGCGAACAATTCCAAGCAAACAATCAGTAACTGACCATTATAACAGGACATTGCGGGACCGCATAATGTACAGTTGACTGTACTTTACGGCTGTCAAAGCATAAGTAACATTAATGGACGCTCAAAACCTCACACAATATAATAAATCAAGATGTTTTTCACTGCGAAGGTGACAGTTGTAATGTGCTACTGTTTAGGAAATAACACAGATTAGACCACATACTCATAAAATTGAGATGCATTCGTGCTCTTTCAAACTATGGCGGGGGTTCAAATTAAAAGATACATTTCACTGGTATTTTGCCGTCCGTATTGTATGACCTTGCATTACTCTTTTTTTTCTTTTTACCTGATAAATTCAAACTTCCACTTAGAAACTAAGTAGCATTCAAGTATTTCCAAAACACAAGTAGCTTTTAAACGGTTGGTTACAGTTATATTGTAAACAAATCCCTTTACTGAAATTAGGCAATTCGCATTCAAACGTTTCCAAAACAAAAGCATCATTAAATAATGTCTGTCCACCAATTTAAAAATTGAATACAACTAAAATCCGCTAATGGCTTAGGAGACTAAACTTTTCGTTTACTACACTAAAGTAAAGCTGCATCTTGAAGAGTTTTCGGTCACTCTGTGACCTTCCTCTGTAGGCCTTTGTGTATGCATGAAACTGAACACTTATATATTCACTATGCTCTCAGTAAGAGTGCTGTCCCGTGTGTGTGACAGTTTTTTTGTCTTTTCATTCTCGGTTCAGTCTTGGGTTGTGGGCCTCCTTGCCCCCTTCCCCTCATACCATGATGCGTCTTAACCAAAATCATTACCACTTCCAACGGGATCTGTTGCCCCCGTGTGTGTCACTATGAGACTGAGCACTATTCCCTCATGTCTCAGTAATAGTACTGCCCCATGTGTGTAACAGTTGGTGTCTCTCCCTTCTCGGTTCAGTCTTGGGTTGTGGGCGCTGGTGTTAATTGCCTCCTTGCTCCCTTCCTCTCATACCATGCATATTATGATGGGTCTTTATCCAAAATCATTACCATCAATGTATGCCATTACATGGGTGTTCTTCTTTTTTTTCAACTGAAGTTGGTAAAAAGCTTCACAAAGGTTTTCCACCTGAATATAGTCCACTAGGGGCCCAATAGATCCTAGATTATATAACAAAGAAATCCAAAATGGTGGACATTGTGTGGGGAGGGCATTTTAATCCAAATGGATAACGTGAAAACCTATAAGAGGTACCATTTATAATAAATAAATTTATTACCCTTTTTTCTATAACAGAATAGAAGTCATCACAGATCAAGGTCACACACACACACACACACACACACACATATTAAGTTGAAGCTCCAAAAAGGGCCAAAGCCGCTATGGTTTCATACATAGTAATTTTATAAACAGTCGACCACTTTGAATGGATAGCAGTCGGTGCCAGCGCAAATAACACTAATTTCTATGCAACATTGTTTGAATTATTTCTTTCACCGCATCCCGGATCTTTAAAGTCAAAGTTCTATAGAATTGCAATCGGCAATCCTCGGCTCATTTCGCAAGCTCCATTGTCGAGTGCGGAGACATCCGAGTAGTTCCGAGTGATAGAATTGGGTCGATCATGTTTGACAAACCACAGGTAATACTTGGCTATTTGCAGTATGTCTGAATTACACTGTAGAAGCATGTATAAATAGAGGATTCATTATACACTAAAACATCTTCGTTGGGGTGAAAATGATTTTCAAGTTTAAAGAATGTTTTTTAAATAAGGTGCATGAATAATGAGATTGTGATTGCGTTTTGTTGTGCCATTGTGTTTTTATGTTTGTGCATCTAGTCAGATCATTGCGGTGTAATGACAGCGTTCAGTTCATTCTCAGGTAAACTGCACTGGCACCGTAAAAACTTCTTTTTCAGACTCTGGTTGAGAAAATTGTAATGAAAATTATCTTATTCTTTATCAAGGCGAGTGAAAAAGAAAAACAAAAATAATTTACAAATTCCTAGTGCTTTTTTTGCTTGTTTATCGTAAAAGCACAATCGTGTAAATATATTGTGTTATGTCTTATACGTCTTTATATTCACAAATGTCCAGATAAAAGATACAATTGCAATGCATGGGATTTACCAAAGACACTATATGTTACACGAGGTTTTCAAAAATGATGTGTCGCAAGTCATGTCTTTCAAGCCCACAGTGCAATTGATTAGAAAATAATTGAGGCCTGTCATTATATTTTATTATCAGTTCTTTACAGATTCATAAATGCAAGGTTTATTTTAAACTATTTTGTGGTTATTGGAAGACCATTTCATGTACTACTACTTAGTGCATTTCATGTTGTGGTGATAGTATTCAGGCCTACCCAACTACCAGACTCGGCACCGAATGATCCTGAATTCACCGGTAGATCGGACCACACTACCCGTTTTCAAGGTGTGAGTCAGTACGCATTTCACAGTATCATACCCCGAACAAATTTTGAGTGGTGATGCAATGCTTTTGAACCCCGCTGAGAATCGTCACTATCACATCGCGTACTAGGCAAGAGCGGTGTCGCGTCTAATACTGTGAAATGAGTACTGATACACACCTTGAAAACGGGTAGTGTGGTCCGATCTACCGGTGAATTCAGGATCATTCGGTGCCGAGTCCGGTAGTTGGGTAGGCCTGGTATTGAACACAAGATTTAATAAGGGAACATACTTATATCTTTACCTTTCTTTATTCGTTACCATTGCAACTGAGATTTTATGGTACTAAGGCCTATCTTAGTGATACGTTTATTAGTTTCACAGAGCCCAGATACTTCTCGTCTTCTCGCCAACTTTTTCAACATGGCATTTGTTGAATGCGTTGCAACGTGTCTTTAGACCAAATCGCAACTGCAGCATTTGGCAGGTAAACGATATGTAAATGAGTATGAGGTTGAATATAAGTAAAATAATAACTGAAGAAAAAAATTAATAGAAAATTGAAACCGAATACGATAAATCAATGCATGAATAAATAAAAAGAATTACTGTGAATCACAACCACAAAGTTGTTTATGTAAGCATATGCATCAAAATGAATAAAATGCGGAGTACGGTATGTGGTGAAATATCAAAAAGTCTCCGAATAGTCACCAGGAGACAGGTATTGTGGAAAGGCAAAGTTGAGAGTTGAAGCTTTACGCTGACTCATAAGTCTATGACATTACAAGGATAGTTGCACTGCAACTCGCAGCCCATAAACACTCACGATCATTTTTGTTTAATTAAATATACTGTAGAAGGCGCAGTATGTAATCGTTTATTTCTTTTAGGAAGATCCAAATACCTAGTGACTGGCTGTTATATCTTTTTTTTAAGATCTCCGGTCAACAAACTCATCAGAAAGTCTTATTTATTTATAATAATCCAAGCACCTTTTACACTGACTGACAACACCAAGGATAGGTGGGTGAATTTGCCTTTGGATTACGTGCATAGATCCATAAAGGTGTGACAAATGACGGGCTTGAATACACAACTTGAATACACCATTCTGGAAAGTTTAGAGGGTACCAGCAGTGAGCTAAAAAAATCATTAGTCTTTTGTGGGTAGGCTCAAAACTCGTCATATTATGAAATACACAAATGAAAGCATGCACTAAAATGCGTGGGAGGGACCAGGTGTTACTTGACCCCGCCTTGGTAGCACAAACAAAATGTTATGGATAATTTCAGTTTTCCTAGACAGGAGAGTGGGTATGGAAAAACACATAAACTTTATTAGAAACGCTTGGAGAGTGGGCACAAAGAGATCGATGTTTACAGAAAAAATATGCAAGCACTTTCACGACAGAGCGTTACGCTAATAATGATAATATACAATTGTTGAAATTCAACCAAACATTTCCTCGAAGAGTATATATGTGACTTTTTGTTTTCTTCCAAAATTAAGTGTAAACAAACAAAGTATCTTAACTAGCCACCATAAGTATTAACATGCAAATTGAATTATTTAAATAGTGGCTTTGCTTATTTTGTCAGCACGGTCTTATTAAAAACAAGGTTACGCCAGACATCAAAATGCTTTAAATTCTACATTTCATACCACAAGTTCATAATGCATTTTGGTGTTTACATCTTAGTTACAGGTTCCAAGCCAGCTTAGTTTGGTCTCAAATAAAGAAGTACATACACGTGCGTGAATTGCAATTAACAAAGAATAAAAAACAAAAATGCCACATTCGAACGAACAGTCTCTTATCCCGATTTCAACAACTATCCGAATAGTTGCCAGGGAACACGTGCAAGTGTTTAGACGGTGCTAAGTAAAAAGGCGTGAGTTGTAGTTTTGAGATGCTACATAATATGACATGACAACACATGGCATCACATGAGAAATTGCACTGTGCCGTCACCTTGCGTAAATCGTGACGTCCCCAGTGTTAACTGCTTAAGTGCAGGGCCCAGGTCCTCAATCTTGACTGACCCACTGCGAGCATTCATGCCATCATAGATCCCCTCCACGCTGTACTTGTAGCTGTTGCCGTTCTGAAGGTCGATCTGCATGTTGGCTTTGTACTCCGTGTCTATAGAGTCGGCGTACATGGTACCTGTGGCATACAAAAGGCGGTTTGGGGGGCACTTAATCGGCCATTCCCACGTGCGCTGTTCCGTTGTCGTTGTGGACCTACCGTATGAGGCAATCGCGGTGACCTTCCAGGTTGAACTGGCCTTTACACCTTCCACCCCTGGGATACCACCGGAGACCGTTGTCTGCAAAGAGAACTCCAAAGCCGTGGTTATGCCCCACTGTCGCGTAATGGTGACGGATCGGGAACCCTTCACGAGGTAGGTCTGTTCTACGGACGATTCATTGGTGATCCTCTGCTGGACGACTGTTTCCGGAACCGAGGCGACAATTTCCGTGTCCAGATTCGGGTAGGTGACGTCTACCAAGCGTGCCTGCTTAATTGGATGCAGTATAGCGAACCCCAGACTGTCGACGTCCTCGCCCCCGGCACCGAACATTCCGCAGACGATACCAGAGCCCACATCCGGACAGTAACGGCCGTCCTCTTCCAACCAGCTCGAGAAGATTCCCCAATCGCGCCCATTGTCCGTCTGCAACCAGATGGCGCCTAGACGATGATTCCCGCCTGAGCTGGTCTCTCCGCTAGCTTGGATGTTGAGTTTGGTCAACTTCTCGCCGGTGTTTAAGCGAAACTCGCTTGAAGATCCAGATCGCTTCCCAACAAGGTGAGACTTCCCGTCGCTCATCCACATCTCCACTCCACGGATACGCCAATCGTCTTTCCAGGCTTTTAGCCTGGTCATGATGGCTCCATCGTCCAGTCTGACGTACGTGAAAGGCGTTCCGCCATTTCCACCAGAGGCCTGAAAAGGAAAGTCAGGTCTCAGTACTGATTACTATATGTAAAAATTTCCCTCCCAAGGCCCCCATGCCCCTCAAAAATATAATAATAATAATAATAATGATAATAATAATAATAATCTTAGGTAGCACCCTCCAGTATGTAAACGGCGTCCCGCCAATTCCATTAGAGCACTGAAGTTATTACTGTGCTTGAACCCCACCCAGCAGGCATAGTGACATTTTATAATATTATAATATTATGATAATGTTATGATGAAGTTATGCGAAATTTTTACTCCATACAAAAAATGCCCCAGTTAACAAAAAAGCATTATGATGACGTTATAATATTTGTTGAAAGATTCGAATGCTGATTCTTCAAAACTTTATGATAACGTTATCTTCTGTAATTTTTTAGCGTCTCTATAATATTCTGGAAAAGAATTATATAATGTTTTGAAAACATTTTTTTACAAATAACCAAAACACTTCTTACTCCATTTTAACTACATTTAGCAGTTTTAATCTAATTAATTAATTAATTAGATTTTAATTAAATCAATTAAATTTAATTAATGTTATTAATTTAATTAATTAAAATTCTAAATTGTGCTTGGGGTTAGTCGACAACTAGAGCTGTGGAAATTGTAGAATCTTCGGACTTTTGTTACCGAAATAACCAGCATGTGATGAAAGTTTACATAAACTATTAGAATGAATGCCCCACCATCAGTCATAGTGTTCTAATTTACATTGCTTCTGGAAAAGATTAGATAGACATCAATACTGTAGCGAACTTTATCAAATTATAAAAAACGGTGCTTTAAAGTAAAAGTGATAGTTGTTTGGTGTCTATAGTGAACTAGCTAATTTCCCCAACTTGTTTTTCAGAAATACATTCTAATAAACTTCCGCGCAAGATCAACTAACACAAAGATGATTAATTCTAGCTAAAAATGTGATTGAGTAAAGTTAATTATGTTTATAGTTCACGGTAACCTGTTAAAGCTAGGTAGATAGACATGCCAGACTAAGGTGACAGTGACTCTTCTATATATATATATATATATATATATATATATATATATATATATATATATATATATATATATTTATCTTTGGTTGTTCACTCTGACTGCTGATCTCCAACCACCGTAGAGCGTGCTGTACACTACTGTGCTGCATAATTGTCGAGAATCTGCACTTGCAGCAGTAACCGGTTTATATTAAATACCACATCTTTTCCATAAACGTTTGTGTAAAGTTATAAGTGAATGGTTTTGTTAAGTGGCATGTAGAACCTCATTAAACGAGCACCAAACCTGTAAAGCCACATTCTCAGCAAAAGTGCAACGTTGAAAAACGTAATTTCGAATTAATTAAAATTAATTCAAATGTACTGCAAAATGTTGCATAAAACGCACATAATTAAGAAAAGAACATACATGTTTATTCTCAAATACCGTTTTCGCGACGAACACAGGATCTTTCTTTAGTACATTCAATGTGGTAAGAATTAACATACCTGATTGGTGGTGAAATACCTCTTGTCAATGCTGCTGAATTCTCTGAGGTGAGGCATTCTGGAGTAAAGTGCTGTGATTCCTCGATCCTGGATGAATTTGGTGTCTTACCCGCGTAGGAGAAAGCGTTACAGGTGGGAAGATATGAAGCACGGGCGCCGTATTTATACGCGTTTTCCACGCCTACTTCTGCGCAAGGCTGACGCTGATTGGTTATCCTAGTAACGTCGTGTATCTGAGTAGGTGTTTTGGCTGCTGTGACTTTGTTGCACTTACTACTGGTTCACTCCTGTATTTATTATAACGTTTGATATGCATCAAAAAGTATTTTGATGACCTTGTTTATGGTCGCTTTTTCCATTGCCTAACACACATGTCAACTAGAAACAAACCGGACGTATTTTTAGACATCTGAATACCCTGGACCCTGTAATCAACGAGTAAAGTCTACAGGAACATATGTCACACAGTAACTTTTTTACCACAAAAGAGAGTCATTATACAAAAAAGTGAACACTTCAGTCACGACAGTAGCGATCACATTGTGTGTAATTTAGCATATTATTCTGCCTAGTCCAACATTTTCACTGCTTTATACCATGCCCCATCTCCAATCTCAGTATGGAAAGACATAAATGGTAAGTTAATTAAATGCCACACGAAACAGCTATGCAAATATAGCTATGCAAAATATGTGCGTAGTTGACGTCACTCATGTTAACTACTCATATTCACCACGTTTTAAAGGTCAATGAAAAAAATGATAAAGATTCAAAATGGAAGAAAAAACATCCAAACCATGCTATTTTGAGAGCAGACACATCTCTTGTTTTGTGCTTATTTATCATTTATATTATTAGTGTTTATGTCTAACCCGATATGATAACCTTGAACTTCATACCAATTAACCGTCTCTATTACACAAACTACAGTAACTTTCCCTATGCTTACGCCCCGTTTAAAGGTAAAGAAATTCAAATAACATATTAGCGAAAGATACAGCGTACTTCAACGGATTTTTTTTTCGGAAAGGAGCATTTGCGCAGCTTCATCATCCATTCATACATCATATTCTTTTCATACTTGAGCAGGTTGTTATTATGCAGTTCCGTTTGTCTTCAATACACAGTCATTTAACTCTTTACAAGCTTCTCTGACAATTCAAATGTTTTTATGGTTGTCTCGCAAAACTCTTACCAGTTCAGGGTCAGGGTTAAATATTACCTGCGACGGCCTCGGTTTGAAAAAACTCAGAACAAGAAGATTAACCCAAATGCCCCCTCGACTGCATCACAGGTCAAAACATATATCATATTCAGGCATGCAATGCATATCAAGCACAAAAGTCGTGTTCTTTTGACGAGAATCGACTCTTTTGACTGTGCGTAGCGCGCATAGTGGTTCTGTTCTGTATAAATTCAGTCGACATATTTCATATTTAATGATGAAGATACGTGCGTTCAGACGAGAACTACTTCGAAACGAAAATCTTCCAAGTGGCGTCCTAGCTTTGTGCATTTGATTGCTTTTCTCGATTCTAGTATTTATGAAACATCCTGGGCACAATTCTTAATGTCTTCGAGGACATACCCCATTGTATTCCCCATTTTTCAGATACCACTGGTTAAGTCCTCATTTACGATAATTGCCACCTGGAGCCGTGAATTAGTGACCGCCGAATTAATGACTTGGAACCATTGTTTCCTGTTTCAAATACTGACTGCGAGCATAGAATTATTCAATTATATCAATTTATCATGTTCTGGCTTGTTTTCATCCTGGTCTTTTGGTTTTTACACTACACTTATTTCGACTGCAAACTACTTTCACTATGGTAGACGATGAGAAGAAAATGCTCGGTAGCGCTCTCAGAAGTTCCGCATAAAAAGAGGATAACATTTCACTTCTTTCTATAAAAATAACAAAAGAGATGTTGTTTGTAAGTGAAATGCACTACCAGGAAAATGATGAAGAAACAAAACAATATCTTTAAAGAAATTGAGAGGCTTTATATATAAAAAGATGTTTTAGCAGATGAACTAAAAATAAATAAATAAATAAATAAATAAGCAGATTGATGAAAACGGGTGACCGTCTGACCTTGAAACGCTTGACAACAAAAAAATCTTTGGAGAGTATTTTAAGAAGCAACAAAGGGATCGCACTGAAACTTGACAGGTACCTTAGAGAACATATGGATCGACCGCTAAGCAACGCAGCTTACTATGGGATTCTTGCTGTCAGAAAAAAATGACCATAAACGGGGAGCCATTGCCAGGCAATTCAACATTTATCAGGGAACCGTTAGTAAAGTCCTCCAAAGAAATGCTACAACAGGCGCACCTACTCCAAAACCTCGACCAGGGTGTTGTCGAATCACAACAAGAAGACAGGATTGCCTTCTCCTTAGACTGTGCCGTGCTGGCCGTGCAAAGACAAACAGTGTCCTCAGAAGGGAGTGGCAGAATGTCATTCAAAGGCCCGTTTCAAGGCCCCTAGTGAACAAGAGATTACTGCAAGCCGGTTATTTTGCACGAAGACCAGTACTGAAACCACTGTTAACAGCAGGTCATATACAGCGACGTCTGCAATGGGCCGGAGACCACGTGCGTTTGCAGCTAAACCACTGGAATCACGTTGTTTTCAGTGATGAGTCCAGATATGGAGTTCTTATGGTTGACGGTCGAATCCGTGTCCGCCAGCGTGTACCAGAGGCATAAAACGATGACCGTGTACTGCCTGGGGTGCAAGCAGGGGGTGGTGGCGTCTCTATTTGGGGAGCATTCCATGTCGGTGCCCAGTACCAGTTGGTTTTTCTAGAAGGCATAAACCCAATTGAAAGCCTGTGGGCGGATGTAGCACGCAGAATCAATAGCTATGGTCATCAGCCGGTAGATCGTGATGTGCCGTCACCTTACATCTTATGTCAGATTTGATATTATTAACCAAAATATCTCACAATTGAAGACTGGATATTTTTATGACTCAAGTACACACTTCTTTGATGAAAAAAGCAAAAATAATAAAAAAATTAATCTGCACTCAAAAATAATGATAGAAATATATCATATTAAGTATTAACCCTGTATGTGATTTTTTGTTTTGTAACAAAATTAAGTGTCAACAATTAAAATACCTTAACTGGCAACCATAAGTATAAACATAAAAATTGAATGATTTTGATAATGGCTTTGCTTATTTTGTTAACACGGTCTTATTAAAAACAAGGTCACACCTGACATCAGTATGCCCTATAAATTCTACATTTCAAACCACAAGTTTATAACACATTTTGGTGTTTATACCTTAGTTACAGGTTTCAAGGCAGCTTCGTTTGGTCTCAAATCAAGATGTGCATACAAGTGCGGGAAATGTATCAACAAAGAAAAAAACAACAAAAGAGTCACATTCGAACGATTTCAACAACTATCTGAATAGTTGCCAGGGACATCACATGAGCAATTTCACTGTGCCGTCACCTTGCGTAAATCGTGACGTTCCCAGTGTTAACTGCTTAAGTGCAGGGCCCAGGTCCTCAATCTTGACTGACCCACTGCGAGCATTCATGCCGCCGTAGATCCCCTCCACGCTGTACTTGTAGCTGTTGCCGTTCTGAAGGTCGATCTGCATGTTGGCTTTGTACACCGTGTCTATAGAGTCGGCGTACATGGTACCTGTGGCGTACAAAAGGCGGTTTGGGGGGCACTTGATCGGCCATTCCCACGTGCGCTCTTCCGTTGTCGTTGTGAACCTACCGTATGAGGCAAGCGCGGTGACCTTCCAGGTTGAACTGGCCCCGACGTCTGCAACCCCTGGGATACCCCCGGAGACCGTTGTCTGCAAAGAGAACTCCAAAGCCGTGGTTATGCCCCACTGTCGCGTAATGGTGACGGATCGGGAACCCTTCAGGGTGTAGGTCTGTTCTACGGAAGATTCATTTGTGATCCTCTGCTGGACGACGGTTTCCGGAACCGAGGCGACAATTTCCGTGTCCAGATTTGGGTAGGTGACGTCTACCAAGCGTGCCTGCTTAATTGGATGCAGTATAGCGAACCCCAGACTGTCGACGTCCTCGCCTCCGGCACCGAACATTCCGCAGACGATGCCAGAGCCCATATCCGGACAGTAACGGCCGTCCTCTTCCAACCATCTCGAGAAGATTCCCCAATCGCGCCCTTTGTCCGTCTGCAACCAGATGGCGCCGAGACGATGATTCCCGCCAGAGCTGGTCTCTCCGCTGGCTTGGATGTTGAGCTTGGTCAGCTTCTCGCCGGTGTTCAAGCGGAATTCGCTGGAAGCTCCAGATCGCTTCCCAACAAGGTGAGACTTCCCGTCGCTCATCCACATCTCCACTCCACGGATACGCCAATCGTCTTTCCAGGCTTTTAGCCTGGTCATGATGGCTCCATCGTCCAGTCTGACGTACGTGAACGGCGTTCCGCCGTTTCCGCCAGAGGCCTGAAAAGGAAAGTAGGTCTTAGTACTAGTTACTATACATAAAAATTTCCCTCTCAAGTCCCCCTAATCCTCAAAAATATAATAATAATATTTATAATTATACTAATAACGCCAATTCCATGAACCCCTCTCAGCAGGCATAGTGACATTTGATCAACGTTGAATTAAATAGGGTGGGTTGTTGATCTACCTAAATTCAACGTCGAATCAATGTTGATCCGGACACATCATAAAGTCATCATAATTCGACGTTGTTTCAACGTTGTAGTTTGGTCACCGTGATGCTATTTTGCCGTCTAACGCGTCATACTTCTACACACATTCAGGCTAAAAGCGTGTTACATGCTTACATGTTGAAATGAAACGTGCTTAGGCTAAACGCGTTGAAAAAATGAGACAAAAAAGGCGCTTAGGAATGTATTTGAAGCTAACGCCGTTTTGACAGTGTAAGTGATAATTGTGCACCTGAGTTTCTGAATAAAAAAGAAAAACATTTCAAGTCATTTTAATGGCTTTGTCTAGCAACTGGGGTTGATACAATGTTGTTATTTGACGTTGATCAAATTTTCAAATCCAATCCAACGTCTTTTCAACGTTGAAGTTCAACATTGTTTCATTTTGAAACAACATGATTTCCCGTTGGGCAAGTGCACTACCACCCAAGCCTACCAGCTTTTTCTTTGGTAGTTCACTCTTAGTGCTGATCTACAACCTCAATAGGGCGTGCTGTACACTATTGTGCTGCAAAATTGGCGGGGATCTGCACTTGCAGCAGTAACAGGTTTATATTTTAATATTTTAGTATTTAAAAATACCACCCTTTTCCATTAACTTTTGTGTAAGTTCAGTGAATGGTTTTGTTAAGTGGCATATAGTACCTCATTAAACAAGCACCAATTCTGTAAAGCCACTTTCTCAGCGAAAGTGCAATGTCAAAGTTCAAATAAACTGCAAAATGTAGCTTAAAAACGTGCATAATTAAGACAAGGATATATTTTTTCAAATACAATTTTTGCGACGAACACCGTACCGATCTGTAGTACATTCATTGTGGTAAGAATTGATATACCTGATTGGTGGTGAAAAACCTCTTGTCAATGCTGCTGAATTCTCTGAGGTATGGCATTCTGGAATATAGTGCTGTGATTCTTTGGTCCTGGATGGATTTGGTGTCTAACCAGGGGAGACAGCGTTACAGGTGGGAAGATATGAAGCACGGGCGCCGTATTTATGCGCGCTTTCCACGCCTCCTAATGCACAGCCGACGCTGATTGGTTGTCCTAGTAATGTCGTATATCAGAGTAGGTGTTTTGGCTGCTGTGACTTTGTTGCACTGACTACCGGTTCACTCCAGTATTTATTATAACGTTTGATATGCATCAAAAAGCAATTTGATGACCTTGTTTATGGTCGCTTTTTCCATTTGCTGACACACATGTCAACTAGAAACAAACCGGACGAATACTGAATATTTTCATACACCTGAATACCATGAACCCTGTAAGCCCACAGTTAAGCCCACAGGCAGAAATATCACACTGTACTTTTTTTACCCCAGAATACAGTCATTGACAATAGATACATTTATGACCATTTTATACGGCAGATTGGAAATCAAGGTTATCTATCTATCTATCTACATCTGTGTGTGTGTCAAGGTGAAGCTCGAAAAAGGAACAAAGCTGCTTTAAATGCAATATCAACTTTCTTTATTTTAACAGAAATACAAATTTAAACACTTTCTAGCTCTTATTGAGGTTTCTATTGAGTGCTGCATACAAATGACCATCTTTTGAATGTCTTCATTTCACTGACCTAGAATAAATTGATGTATGTCAATGTCAAATATGCATTTTAAAAGATGCAATGGCAATGGGAATCACCAAAGGAACTACGTTACATTAGGTTTTCAAAAATGATGTGTTGCAAGTCTAGCGCTTGTCAAGCCCACACTGCAATTGCTTAGAAAAATAATCGAGACCTTTTCTTTTTGTTTTATTATCAATTCTTTACAGATTCATAAATGCAAGGTTTATTATTAACTACTTTGTGGTTATTGGAAGACCATTTCATGTACTACCACTTAGTGCATTTCATGTTGTGGTGATAGTATTGAACACAGGATTTGATAAGATAACATACTTATATCTTTACCTTTCTTTATTCTTGAACTTTGCAACTGATATTTTGTGGCAACGAGGAAGGAAAACGAATAGACACTGAGGCCTATTTTTAGTGCTACGTTTAATAGTTTAACAGAGCTAATGTGCTTCTCGTCTTCTCGTCAACTTTTTCAGCATTGCGTTTGTTGAATGCGTGGCAACGTGTCTATGGACCAAATCGCAACTGCAGCATTTGACAAAAATGTAGGCAAATGGGCATGAGTATGAATATGAGTAAAATAATAGCTGAAAAAATACATAGAAAACCTAAACCCTATACAATAAAGCAATGTATGAATGAATAAAAAGAATTAATCTCAGTGAATATGAATGACAACTACGTGCAACTATTATGCATGAAATTGAATAAAATTCGAATATGTGGTGAAATAACAAAAAGTTTCCGAATTGTTGCCTAGAAACATGTGCAGGGTTTGTATAATGGTCAGGTAAAAGGCGTGAGTTGAAGCTTTAAGCTGCTTCATGGGTCTATGGCATTACATGGATGGTTGCACCATTTTTGATCAGTTAAATACATCACAAGAATGCACAAAATGTAATCGTTTGTTGATTTAGGAAGATTTAAACACCGAGTGGGCGACAGGCCTTTTTTAAAAGATTTTCGGTCAACAAACTCACCAAAAGGTCTTGTTTTTTGATAATAACCCAACCGCTGTTTGCACGGACTGGCAACACAAACGATAGGTGGGCGAATATACCTGTAAATTACGCGCATTGAATCATAAAGATGTTGTGACAAATGACGCGCGGGATTTATTATTCATTGGTACCCGTCGCAGTGCAGTGATTTTTTTTCACAATTTAAATACGTTACTCTGGACAGTTTTATAGCGTTGGGGGTATTATAGTAGTCAGAAGCAATATTCTTTTGTGGAAAGGTTCAATATTCTTAATTTTATTAAATTTACAAATGAAAACATGCACTTGAAATACGTGGGACGGACCAGGTGTTACTTGACCCCCTCTTGGTCGCAAAAACAAACTGTTCTTGATGATTTAAGTTTACCTAGACAGTGGAATGGGCATGGAAAACTGGTTTTAAACTTTATTAGGGAAAACATGGAGAGTAGGCATAAAGAGATCAAAGTATAAAGAAAATAAACACGCAGACTTTAAAAACATGCAAATACCCTCACGACAGAGCGTTACGCTTACATTGATAATATGTAATTGTTGAAACTCAATCAAACATTTCCTCAAAGAGTATATATGTTGTTTTGATACAGAATTGAGTGTTAACAAGCAGAGTATCTTAACTAGCCATCAAAAGTACTAACATGCAAATACAACGTTTTTAATGTGGCTTTGCTCATTCTGTCAACGTAGTCTAATTAAAAACAAGGTCACGCCAGACATCAACATCTTCTATAAATTCTACATTTCATACCACAAGATTATAATGTATTTTGTTGTTTACATCTTAATTACGGATCTCAAGCCAGTTTAGATTTGTCTCAGTTGAAAAAGTGCATAGACGTGTGTGAGTTGTATTGATAAAAATGTCATATTTAAACGAATAGTCTCTTGTCACGTATTTTCAACATTTAGCAGAATAGTTGCCAGGGAACACGTGCATATGTTTAAACGGTGCTAAGTAAAAAAGGCGTGAGTTGTAGTTTTCAGATGCAACATCAGTCCACGATATCACATGAGCAAGGGCACTGTGACGTCACCTAACTGAAAACCGTGACGTCAGCAGTCTTGACTGATTAATTGCATGGGCCCAGGTCATCAATCTTAACTGACCCACTGCGAGCATTCATGCCGTCATAGATCCCCTCCACGCTGTACTTGTAGCTGTTGCCGTTCGCAAGGTCGATCTGCATGTTGGCCTTGTACTCCGTGTCTATGGAGTCGGCGTACATGGTACCTGTGGCATACAGCTTCCGGTTTGGAGGGCACTTGATCGGCCATTCCCACGTGCGCTCTTCGGTGTTTGTAGTGGACCTCCCGTATAAGGCACTCGCGGTGACCTTCCAGGTTGAGCTGGCCTCTACGTCTGCAACCTCTGGGATACCTGCGGAGACCGTTGTCTGCAAAGAGTACTCCAAACCGGTGGTAATGCTCCACTGTCGCGTAATGGTGACGGATCGGGTACCCTTCACGGTGTAGGTCTGTTCTACGGACGATTCATTTGTGATCCTCTGGTGGACAACGGTGTCTGGGACCGTAGCGACAATCTCCATGTCCAGATTCGGGTAAGTCACGTCCACAAGGCGTGCCTGCTTAATTGGATGCAATATGGCAAACCCCAGACAGTCGACGTCCTCGCCCCCGGCGCCAAACATTCCGCAGACGATGCCGGAGCCCACGTCTGGCCAGTAACGGCCGTCCTCATCCAACCAGCGAGAGAAGATTCCCCAGTCGCGCCCTTTGTCCGTCTGCAACCAGATGGCACCGAGACGATGATTCCCGCCTGAGCTGGTCTCTCCGCTGGCCTGGATGTTAAGCTTGGTCAGCTTCTCGCCGGTGTTCAAGCGGAATTCGCTGGAAGATCCAGATCGCTTTCCAACAAGGTGAGACTTCCCATCGCTCATCCACATCTCCACTCCACGGATACGCCAATCGTCTTTCCAGGCTTTTAGCTTGGTCATTATGGCGCCATCGTCCAGCCTTACGTACGTGAACGGCGTTCCCCCATTTCCACCAGAGGCCTGAAAAAGTAAGTAAGGGTTCAGTTCTTAAAACAAACTAATTTCATTTTTGGTACTTCACTTCCGGTGCAGCCCTTAGCGACCGACCACGACTGAGCATTTTAAACACCAACGACATCTCTTACACATAACAATGAGTGGTGATCCGCACTTCAGGGAACTTCCGCACTTCAGGGGATTTGAGGTGCAAAAAAAAAAAAATAATCGCAATTTCTGACTTCTGATTGAGCAATAAATAACAGTTAAAATTCACCAGAATGCTGTATTATACATACAGATTTTAAAAATTTTCCACATCGTGGGAGGGGGACACCCCCACCCTTCCCCCTCGGGGGCTTCGCCCCCTCGGTCCGCTTACTGCCCCCCCTGGCATTTTGCTCAGGCTACGGCCCTGCACTTGCACCAGTAAGGTCAACAACCTGTTGATAACCCTGCCTTCACCATTATCGAGCCCCTGGAATGGGCACAATATGCAGAAAATAAATTCATTTGTAGGCCCCAGAGAGATACGCTCCTCTTGAAGTTGTTTTTTTTTAGGTCTTACCTTTCTATTATCATAAATGGCTCTCATTTTTTACTTAATTGTCAACTATATTTTACTTAGACCTTAAAATCCAGGATTATCCCGCCAGTTTATTTTTTACTAAATATAAGCAATTTGCCCTTCTTGCAAATCATTGTTCGTTCCTCTCCTGCACTAAAATTCGATGTTTTCTACAATGCCTAATAAAACAATTTAGTTCTGTAAGACTTCCTACTTATTTAGACTTTATTCTATCTTCCTAACCATTTAAATTAAAGAGGAAATATAAGATTTTGTTTTATCGTTTAAAGTGTCTGAATTGGGATAATAAAGTAGCTATGTAGGGTATGGAAACACATAAAACATGAGATAATTTCAAATGCATACTGCATATATTTAATGGTCTTGTTTTAACAGACTTACGGTAACTCAATACCGAAAACCAGAAAAACTCATATTGCCCGTTTAGTTCTCGTGCCCAATGCAGAAGCATCTCCACTTTTCGTAAACTTAAGCTTTTCAGCAGAAGGGGCTAGAAATTCTATTTTTGCAACAGTTTTTGACTAGAAAACCTTTAGATTTGTGGATTGTAAACGGTGCTTTCTTTTTTAAAAGCGAAAATTGTGCAGTGTGAAAAAAAATGCGCAGTGCCTTGGCTAAATTGCCGTTTGATAATAGCTACAAATTATGCAAGGAATAAATACACAGTGGCATTTTTCTTAAAGACCAATTTTTGCGAGACGCACCGATAATTAAAATACATAGAGTGTGGCAATGATTACATACCTGATTAGAAGTAAAGTATCTCTTGTCAATGTTACTGAATTCTCTCAGATGAGGCATCCTGAAGTAGACTTCTGTGGTGCCTTGGTACTGGGTGGACTTGGTGTCTTAACCGAGCAGACAGCGTTCGAGGTAGGAAGATATGAAGGAAGGCGGTTGCTTTTATACATGGCTTCCCCGCCTACCTGTGTACAAAACGCACTCTGATTGGCTGCGTGGGTTGGCGTTGGCGTTTTGACTGTTGTGTCTTTGGCGTATCTACTCTGTTGTATTGAGCAAAAAATTATTCTGATCACCATGTTTTCAACCTCTTTTCGTTTATATTTCCGGTCACATTTTAACAAGGGAATCACATTGTGTGTGTGTGTGTGTGTGTGTGTGTGTGTGTGCGCGCGCGCGCGCGCGCAGAAGCCTTAATGCAATGAATCCGGCATCCGATAATAAATAAATAAATAAATAAATAAATAAATAAATAGGGATCCGCTTGTTAATAATTATACAAAAAATTACTTACAAAAGAATTTTTTTTAGGGAAAATAAGGACCGTGCGTCTCATAGGAAATACATCTCATTACCCCTCAGGTATATTCTCCTAATACCGTGCATACTGATTCAGTTACTTGCCCCTTCCTCTGCTTGCCCCCAGGCACGTCCATGAAGAGTGAAAGAAGAGGTTGGGTAACTCTGTTCTATCATTTCTATTAGTTTTGCCCCATGCATTCTTATTTTGGTCTCTTTGGAATCTGAATTGGTCTCGCCGCAGGTGAGTAAACGTAGATCTGACATATTGCATAAAAATGCATTTACTCATAAAATATTCATTCAACACAATTTTCCATATCAAATTTGGTCAATTTCGTACTAATCTTGGTTAGCAGAAGCCCCGTTAAATAAATAAAATGCCCCTTACAATTTGAGGTTGAAACTTATTGAGGAAGCGAATGTGGTAAACACATTTAGCGATGAAGACCAGGCAACATCACGTCAAATTTTGTCGAAATGAACATCCCAGATGAATGTTTATCAAATGCAAGTGAACGTATAAGACGTTGACCGAACTGAGGTATTTTAAATATTGCAATTTTTATTGTTTACGTTGCAACGTGTCCATTATGAACCAAATCGAGACAAAATTAGAAGATAAATGAAATGATATGAGTTAAATGAATATAAAATATTAAAACTTAATACAATAAATAAATATATGAAAAAAAAAAACAATTAACCCCAACGCCTGTGAATTACAACTGTAAAGTTTTTCATGCAAACAGTGCGTATTAAATATAAAATAAGAAATAAATAAAATGCGAGGTTTGTGTTGAAATAACGAGAGGTCTCTGAATAGTTGCCAGGAAACATGTGCAATATTTGTATTGTGAAAAGGTAATAGGCGTGACTTGTAGTTTTATGCTGCAACATGGTCTATGACATTACAAGGATAGTTGCACTGCAAGACATAACCCAGAAACACCCACGGCCATTTTTGATTGATAAAATAAATAAGGCATAGTATGTAGTCGTTTGTTGATTTTAGAACGATTCAACTACCAAGTGGGCGGCAGGCTCTTTTTAATTTCTTTTAAGATGCCCGGTCAACACACCTATCTAAAAGTTTTCTTTATTTATGATGATCCAAGCACTGTTTGTTCTGACTGAAAACTATTTAGAAGGACAGGTGGGTGAATTTTTCTGTTAATAACGTGCATGGATTCATAATAATGATGTGAAATGATGCGCGAACTTAATTTTCATAAGGCCTCTGGGGGCAGTGCAACCTACAATTGAATACACAATTCTAGATATCTTTATAACGTAGGTGGTAGTATACAAAGTAGAAACATTTTTCTTTAGTGGAAAAGTTCAAAACTCTTCATATTATGGGATATACGCATTAAAAACATGCACTGAAAATAAATGCGTGGAACGGGCCAGGTGTTACTCTGACTCCGCCCACAAGCTAAATGTTCTTTATGGTTTAAGTTTACCTAGACAGATGAGTGGGTATGGATAAACACATGACCGGTTTTTAAACTTTATTACGGAACGCATGGTGAGTGGGCACAAAGAGACCAACGATTAGAGAAAATAAACACACAGGCTTTAAAAACATGTAAGTACCTTCCTGACAGAGCGTTACGCTTACAACCATAATTTACAATTGATGAAACTCATCCAAACATATATCAGTGTAAGTGTATGTAATAGATAGACCGCCAGTCCGCGAGGGTTATGTGGCATACAAGAGTGGGTAGCACGAGTGGATGTCACATAACTCTCGATGACGAGGGGTCTATTTTATTTAGACCACGGGTCCTTTAGCGGGTTATAACGGTTACGCGAGTTACACCACATTTGAGTCTTTTGTTCTTCACTTCCACCGTGGTCTAAGTATGTTACTTTGATCTTGTCACAAACTTAAGCGCTTACAAACAAGGCATCTTGAGGGGCCACCAAAAGTATTGACATTAAATGTTTTAAATGTTGCTTTTTTGCATCTTGTCAGCGTGGTTTTGCAAACAGGTTGTTAACATTTTATCGATGCATCTCAACTTATATCCTTCTCAATTGAAAACGTGCATAGACGTGCGGGAATGGAAGATAAGTTGCTTTTGTAAATTGTATATCCCGCGCGGCAAATATGACCGTTGCATTAGTCTTTTTTTAAAATATTACCTGTAAGTCCAAAACACAAGAGTATTTATAATTGCAGGTTGCCATTTTATTGTAAATAAATTTCTCGTATCATAAAGTCAAATCGAAATGGCGCGTTCACAAAACACACAGATCATTAACAATGATTGACCGCCAATTGAAAAATTTAATACAACAAAAACCTATAAAGAAATAATAAAATTGTTCAAGCGCTATAAAATGTTTGGATATATATGTTTATGCTTGAACACGCTGCTTGCGTACTTGTTGACCTGCTGAGGTTACATGACACAATGACATTTTTATTCAGTTTTCTAAGTCAAACAGAGAATGCCTTTAAGCGAAGCGGTATGCCGCTTATTTGTATTAAACAAGGGTGGTCCCTTTTATAAGTTGAAAACGTTAAAGTATTAGCTTACAACAAGGGGGGGGGGTACGTATAAGCAATCAGCAATAAATAACATCCACAGCTAGATAAATCCCAACCTATTACATATATATATATATATATATATATATATATATATATATATATATATATATATATATATGTGTGTGTGTGTGTGTGTGTGTGTGCTTTACTACACTAAACTGTAGTAAACATTCACCAAAACACCATTCACATTCAACATAACCATCATCTACGTCCAGTTGTGTCCTGTAGGGCAGTCTGCACTATTCTTGGTCATCAAATACTTCAACTTAAATCAAATGTCATTATGTTTATATGGTCGGAAACTGCATAAAATCCCGAACAAGGTTAATATTTATGGGGGTGACCAGGCAACATTATTAATCAAAATGAACACCACAATGTGAAAGAGGCATAACTGTTGACCAGTTGTGAGATTCCAGAACATGTTTTCATAGATGTTTGGAAAATAAGATTCCTCAAACTTCGTCAATGCAAGTTAGTCAGCCTATAATATTTATGACCGACATAAGGTCTGCTTTGGTGCTACGTTTCTTTGTGTATCGATTATTGGGTACTCTTAGATTCCCTCGATTTTTTTCGCCATTGCATTTGTTGTCGATTGCGTTGGAATTTAACATGTTTATCATACGGACCGTGTCTCAACTGCAGCATTTGACATATTTCATGGATAAATGAAATAATGACAAATAAAGGCTTTTAATAGTGAATGAATACAAATAATAATCAAAATAAAAAGAACATATGATAAATAGATAAACTGATACAAAGAATGAATTCAACAGACACAATTCTGAAAACAAAAAGCAATTTGCAAAGAGGCATATAGTTCGTAGACACGCATTATGTATAAAATGCATATAATCAATCGTGTGGAGTTAATCACAAAATACATCAAATTTAAAGCTTCATGTGCTTTTATTCTACAACCAAAGAAGAAAAACTTTAAAATATTATTTAAATATGAAGTGTACCCTATATGTTAATTTTTCATGTACTCAAAAAGATAAAAATGACATCCCTGCGCCTTTTACAACATAAAGAAGCATGAAATCACATGGGGGTACATTTGACTTTTTGTTCTGTCTAATTAATTGATATACAAAGAGTTTAGTACCTATTATGTCCCTCTGATCAAGCCAACGTGTCCTTTGCATATATATATATATATATATATATATATATATATATATATATATAT